GAAATTTTGGTGCAGTCGATTTTTGGCTAAAAAGGAAGGTTATACACTCCCTTTTTTTGAGGCAAGAAAAAACAATTGTCTCAGATCGATCCGGAAAAAAAATTTTCTCATAGAATGTGGCCTGTAGAATCCATAATTTCAAACAGTTCCAAGATTGGTCTACTAGTTCAAAACTTACAGCTCTTTGAATTTTTTTTCGAAATTGGTTTCTAGTCTATAACTTTTGATTGAGAAGTCTGATCGAAAAAGTACGAATTGTTTTGGATTCTACGCACCACAATTAATAAGAAAAAGTGTTTTCCCGAGAAATTTTGGTGCAGTCGATTTTTGGTAAAAAAGGAAGGTTATACACTGCCTTTTTTTGAGCCCCGAAAAAAAAATTGTCTCAGATCGATCCGGAAAAAAAATTTTCTTATAGAATGTGGCCTGTAGAATCCATAATTTCAAACAGTTCCAAGATTGGGCTACTAGTTTAAAAGTTACAGCCCTTTGAATTTTCTTTCGAAATTGGTTTCTAGTCTATAACTTTTGATTGAGAAGTCTGATCGAAAAAGTCCGAATTGTTTTGGATTCTACGCACCAAAATTAATAAGAAAAAGTGTTTTCCCGAGAAATTTTGGTGCAGTCGATTTTTGGCTAAAAGGAAGGTTATACACTGCCTTTTTTGGAGACAAGAAAAAAAAATTGTCTCAGATCGAGCCGAAAAAAAATATTCTTATAGAATGTGGCCTGTAGAATCCATAATTTCAAACAGTTCCAAGATTGGTCTACTAGTTCAAACGTTACAGCTCTTTGAATTTTCTTTCGAAATTGGTTTCTAGTCTATAACTTTTGATTGAGAAGTCTGATCGAAAAAGTACGAATTGTTTTTGATTCTACGCACCAAAATTAATAAGAAAAAGTGTTTTCCCGAGAAATTTTGGTGCAGTCGATTTTTGGTAAAAAAGAAAGGTTATACACTGCCTTTTTTTGAGCCCCGAAGAAAAAATTGTCTCAGATCGACCCGGAAAAAAAATTTTCTTATAGAATGTGGCCTGTAGAATCCATAAATTCAAACAGTTCCAAGATTGGGCTACTAGTTCAAAAGTTACAGCCCTTTGAATTTTCTTTCGAAATTGGTTTCTAGTCTATAACTTTTGATTGAGAAGTCGGATCGAAAAAGTACGAATTGTTTTGGATTCTACGCACCAAAATTAATAAGAAAAAGTGTTTTCCCGAGAAATTTTGGTGCAGTCGATTTTTGGTAAAAAAGGAAGGTTGTACACTGCCTTTTTTGAGGCCCGAAAAAAAAATTGTCTCAGAATGACCCGGAAAAAAAATTTTCTTATAGAATGTGGCCTGTAGAATCCATAATTTCAAACAGTTCCAAGATTGGGCTACTAGTTCAAAAGTTACAGCCCGTTGAATTTTCTTTCGAAATTGGTTTCTAGTCTATAACTTTTGATTGAGTCTGATCGAAAAAGTACGAATTGATTTGGGTTCTACGCACCCAAATTAATAAGAAAAAGTGTTTTCCCGAGAAATTTTGGTGTAGTCGATTTTTGGTAAAAAAGGAAGGTTATACACTGCCTTTTTTTGAGTCCCGAAAAAAAATTGTCTCAGATCGACCCGGAAAAAAAATTTTCTTATAGAATGTGGCCTGTAGAATCCATAATTTCAAACAGTTCCAAGATTGGGCTGCTAGTTCAAAAGTTACAGCCCTTGAATTTTCTTTCGAAATTGGTTTCTAGTCTATAACTTTTGATTGAGAAGTCTGATCGAAAAAATACGAACTGTTTTGGATTCTACGCACCAAAATTAATAAGAAAAAGTGTTTTCCCGAGAAATTTTGGTGCAGTCGATTTTTGGTAAAAAAGGAAGGTTATACACTGCCTTTTTGGAGCACCGAAGAAAAAATTGTCTCAGATCGACCAGGAAAAAAATTTTCTTATAGAATGTGGCCTGTAAAATCCATAATTTCAAACAGTTCCAAGATTGGGCTACTAGTTCAAAAGTTACAGCTCTTTGAATTTTTTTTCGAAATTGGTTTCTAGTCTATAACTTTTGATTGAGAGGTTTAACCGAAAAAGTACGATTTGTTTTGGATTCTACGCACCAAAATAAATAAGAAAAAGTGTTTTCCCGAGAAATTTTGGTGCAGTCGATTTTTGGTACAAAATGAAGGTTATACACTGCCTTTTTTTGAGCCCCGAAAAAAAAATTGTCTCAAATCGATCCGGAAAAAAATTTCTTATAGAATGTGGCCTGTAGAATCCATAATTTCAAACAGTTCCAAGATTGGGC